CCCCCGGCACTCCTCTGAGCGGAGGCTGTGGGTGCGTTGGGGGCCTCTGAGACGCCGGGCAGATCCCTCAGCCCTTGCCTGCCCTTTCCTCTCTCGATGCTGGGCAGCTGCTCGCCGGGGCCCTTGGATTCTGCAGGTCTGGGGGCGGGTGACCCGCAGCCAGCTGTGGGCATCTGGCACGCCACCTGCACGCCTGCTGGCCAGGTGGGCTCGGCCTGAGGGCAGATCCAGGCTCTGAGCATGTGCGGGCACGTGCACAGTTGCCCACACAGCGCTCACACGGGCATCCACACTCGTGTCGGCGGCCCTTGGCGTGTGCCGCTCCCTCTGCTGAAATGCTTGCCCTCTCGTGCCCCTGGGGCTCCCTCCTGGGCCTCCTGCGTCCTCTCCTTCTCCTGGCTCCTCATCTCCATCCCATGACTTGTTTCCTCGAGCCCCTCGGGGGCAGGTGTCGGGTCAGCCGGTCCCAGAGCTGAGAACATCCCTGGCAGGCTGTGGTGTGCAGTGGCTGAGGAGGAGCCTGTAGATGGATGCGCTCAGGGCACACTCCAGCACGTGTGCGCACACACACACACACACAGGCAGCTGTGCCTAGTGCCATCTCCTCTGCTGCCCAAGCCTAGAAGGAAGCAGCTTTTGTCGTTTGCCATGGGTCATGGGAAGAGGGAGGGAGAGGGAGAAGAGGGAGAGAAACGGGGGTGGAGAGAAAGAAAGGAGAGAGAGGGAGATCTACTCATACACACACACACGCACACACACACACACACCCCAGTCCCGGTCGCTCACCCATTATGTAAGCCAGAGACACCGCGGGGTGTCAGCTGCCAACACACTGGGTGTCGCTCAGGATCTCACCACCTGCCCCTCCCCAGGTGGCACTGCTGGGATATAGAGTGTTGGCTGCTGTCCGGGGTGGCGTGAGTCTGGTTCACCTCTGTGTGTCTGTCTGTGGCCTGTGGAATTGTAGCAGCCGGCACCGTATGCCTGAGCTTGGTGCCGTGGGAGGCCGAGCTGACTCTGGGGGCCAAGGGCTCAGGGAGGGCTGCCTGGAGGAGAGGACATTTGAGCCGGGCCTTGATATGTAGGGAGGATTTAAATGTGGGGAGACGAGGTCGTGGGCCCTGGGGCAGAGGGGAGGAAGCGGACAGACAGATGGACCCTGTGCAGGCCACCTGGGCCAGGCAGGGCTGGGCAGGTGCTGTGGGGTCTACCGGCTCTTGCCCTGGGTGGTGGGACGTGAGTGCAGTGTTCCAGTGCCTGGAGCGGTATGGAGGTGCACAGCAGGTGCACAGCAGGTGCTCTGTGTTGGGCAATGGAAGGAGGAGGCAGAGAGGAGCAGCTGGCGTTGGGGCGGGCACGGCTGCCTCCCTGCCCTTCTGCTGCTGCGGCTGGGAGAGGAGCGCTCCAAGGAGAATGTAAATCGAGTGTCCCCTCCCTCTGCGCCAGGCTGCAGAGACTTCACAGCCCCACCTGGCCAGGTTGTCACAGTCACCCGTTGGGACACAGACGAGGCCCCCCAGGACAGCCCCCTGCCCTCCCTGCCCTGCCTACACTCTGGGTTGGGGCCTTGGGGAGCCTGTTCCTTGTTTGCAGGTGTCCCCATGACAATGACAGCAGTGTGACTGGAGAGAGCTGGGCATGGGACCCTTCCTCTCTGGCCCTGGGACACTGGCTGTAGAGACAGGGAACTTGTTGGAGGATACCCCACCTGCAGCTTCCTGCGCTGCCCCCTGTGGGGGCCGGGGGGTCTGCTGGGTGGTGGCAAAGGGGCTGCCTGGGGATGGACTCTGCATCCCCACCTTGGTCCCCAGACTCCTGGGCCGGGCCCTTCCGGGTGAAGGCACCCCGTAGCTCCTGGTATGTGTGCACACGTGTGCACGTGTGTGCATGCGTGCATGTAGTGTGTGTGTGGTTGGGGGTGTCTCCGTGTCGCAGGGCCCTGCAAGGCCGGTTTGGCTGGGAGACTTCCTGGAGGAGGAGGAGGTTGGGTGTGTCTGTCCAGCCGGCCCTTTCTCCCCTGATGCCAGCCTCGCCCCGTGGGGATAGACGGGACCCAGGAGGGCCCCGCCTCAGTCTCCTCCTCTGTCGGGTGGGGCTGGGGCCTGTCCTGCCCACACCACGGGTTCTGACCCAGGGCGGGAGGAGGCAGAGCCCAGGGGAGGGGCGGACTGTGAGGATGGCGGGAGCGGGAGGTTGGTGTGTAGGGGCGCCAGCCCCCCATCAGCACCCCTCTCGCCCCCAGATCCCCCAGATCAGCTACGCCTCCACAGCCCCCGACCTGAGCGACAACAGCCGCTACGACTTCTTCTCCCGCGTGGTGCCCTCGGACACGTACCAGGCCCAGGCCATGGTGGACATCGTCCGCGCCCTCAAGTGGAACTACGTGTCCACGCTGGCCTCTGAGGGCAGCTATGGCGAGAGCGGCGTGGAAGCCTTCATCCAGAAGTCCCGCGAGGACGGTGAGTCTGGTGCCCAGCCGCAGGCTCGCTCGGCTGAGCGGGGCCCAGAGCTGCGGGCCCTGCTGCCCGGGGCGGCCGCTCGTGGGCCCCTGTCTCTTCTCGGAGCGCTGGGGTTTGGCCATGGCCTCGCCACACGCTGGGTGACTCCTGTGGGCGGGGGATGTGCGGGCTGGTAGACGGCGTGCGGACGAAGGCCCGGGGACCTTCCCCGTTCTAGTGGGTAAGGGCCAGAGGACAGGTGATGTCCTTGTAGGCAGAGGAAGGGAAGTGGGCGTGGGGGGCCTTGCTTAGCGGCTGTCACGGGCCCAGGAGGCAAGCCATCTGCTGGACAGGTTCTCGGGATGGGGAACGCGGAGTCCCTAAGACCGAGCTGCCTGGGGAGGGGCGAGAGGTGGAGGGGTGGACCCTGGTGGGTGGAGGAGGGGCAGGAACTCTGCATACACGGTACCACCTTCCCCACTAAGCCCTGGCACGACCTCAGACGTCCAGTGCCAAGCTTAGGTGTCCCCAGCGGTGGTGGCTGTGAGACAGCAGGGCCTGCAGGGCCCTGGTGGTCCCTGGCTGGGTCCGAGGGGAAGGTGGGGCTGAGGGGCAATGTGCTTGGGCTGTGGAGGGGGCACTCCCCCTGGGCTGTAGCGGGCCCAGGGGTGCACCTCGGGGAAGCTGCAGGGCACAGGGTGGTGCCCCGCCCCCTCCCGCCTCTCCCTAATGGCTCTGCAGGCGCCCTCGACCTTGGGGGTGGCGCCTGTAGGTTTACACCCGCGTGGCCCCAGAGCTGTAATTGCTTTCCTAAGGACCGCGGCGTGTCCAGAAGCCGGCACCGGTAGCACCCTGCAGGCATAATCCTGCCGTAAATCTTGGCTAAGCCCCTTTAATTGTGCAGCTGAAGCTGCTCCGGTGCCAACAGCCCGGTGGAGGGGGTGGCGGCGGCAGCGGGAAGTGGGGCAGAGCTGACTGACGGCCGTAGCCCCAGCAGCCGGCAGGCGGGGGTGAGCAGGGCGCCGCTCGCACCTCTGGGAGGGCTGGCGGGCACGCTGGGACCCTGGGTGACAGCGCCAGAGCCAGGAGCCAGGGTCGCTCTCCCTCTGGCTGCCCAAGCGGCCTTTCCTCCCGTGCACCTCCCCCTGCACTGCCCCCACTGGCTCCTCCCCTGCTCAGCGCTCCCCAGCGCAGGCCGCTGCCTTTACTGTGTCAGGCACGATTGCTGTAGGACTTGGGGTTGGAAGTCAGGGTCCTGGCCTTGGGCCCTTACCCTGAGGCCCCACAGCGCCCTCCCAAGATGCCCAGCACCTGCTGTCCCGGATGACCCCCTGCCCCTGGAGAGGAAGCTGAGGCACAGAGAGGCCGTGGAGAACTGGGCACAGGTCCCCAGCTCGCACGTCAGAGGTGGAGCAGGCGCTGGAGCCTGGGTGTCTCAGCCGTCTCTGTTTCTGTCTCCTCCCTCTCCTCCCCAGCTCCTGTGCCAGTGCTGGGGCGCATGCACACACACACACACATGCACACTCACACACACGGGCCTGAAGGGTGGGAGGGTAGCGGGCCCGGTGGGGTCCGCGCGAGTCACTGTGCATGTTATCCAGAACTCAGTCAGATGTTGGGGAGTTGGAAAAAATAAAGTTTACTCGGGGTTTTACAAAAGGACCTTGCGATCTAGAAAAGCAAGAGAAGTGGCCGCTGTGCCAGCTGCGGCAGCCCCTGGGCCTGGCTGGGCCGCCCCCGGATCTGGGCAATGAGGCCGCCTCGCCCCCTCCCCTAAATGAGATTTGATTTGGAGGCCTGTCCTCAGGCCCAGGAAAAGAAAAGGGGAGAGAAAGCCGCGCTGCAGCTGGCCAAATTGAAATCAGAATTGAGCGGCTGTAGAAAGAGGCCGCTGTAGCTTGTAGCCTAATCCCTGTGAAAGATTAAAGATGTCTTTGGCCGTATATTGTATTGATTCGTCCTCTGAAGTATAAATCATCGGTGAGCTGCTCGGAGGAGTGCCAGGGAGGGGAGGGGCGGGCGCTCGGCCGGCCGGGGTGGGGTGTGCACCGGAGTTGCGAGAGTTAGGCCTGGGTGCCTACTGTGTGCTGACCCTCGGAAGAGCATCATTCTGACGGCTTGGTAGATGGGGAAACTGAGGCAGGCCGGGGTACTTTGCCAATAAACAGGATGCGGAGGAGCTGGGAGGGGAACCTGGCTCTGTCCTCCAGGTGGGGGGCTCCCAGGCGCTGCCCGGCCATTGGCACTGAGCTAGAGGAAGCCCAGCCCCCCTTAGCACGTGCCACCCCCCCCCCCCGGCTCATTCGTGCTCTGGGCAGTCCTGTGGCTCTTGACTGAGCCCTGCCTGTCCCAGGCATCCCCTCGGCTGTTACAGGCCTGATGACAGCTCTGTGGGGCCCGGCATTTCGTCTCTGTTCTGCAGCTGAAGAACCGGGGCTCAGAGAGGTGTGCTGGCTGGCTTAGCGTCCCACAGTGAGGTCCCAGGAGTGGCTGCGTGTGGCTAAGAGGTCAGGCTCTGTCTGGGCCACTCCTAGGAAAGGCACTGAACCCCTCTGGGCTCACTGTTGTCAGAATGAAACAGGCTCCTGGCACCCGGAGGTGGGCACGCGGGGTGCATGCTGGAGGGTCAGCATTCAGGTCTGCTGCCTGGGTCCCAGCTGTCCTGGTGCCTGGCCACTCCCGGGGCTGACCTGGCGAGACCTGGCTGAGGGCGCGTGTGCGTGCATGGCGGGGGCGAGGGACGGACCGCAGGAGCCCAGGCCAGCCTGCTTCTTACAGGCAGGCACGGTGTCTTCCGGGGGCCGGCCAGGGCAGCACAGGTGCACGCGGGGAGGGCTGCATTTCTGGACACGGGGCTGGCAGGCCTGCCCCCGTAGGGGTGTCTGGGCACCCTGCAGTGTGTCTGGGCCTGTGTGCTTGTGGATGTGTGTGTGTGTGTGTGTGTGTGCCTGGGCGAGGCGGGGGTGTGGGTAACCACATCATATGCACGTGCTCACGCCGACTCCCTGCCGAGGCCGAGGCGGAGTTTGCCCCTGCAGTGGCCGCGGAGCCGGGCTGGGATTAGACATGCAGAGCAGGCCCGGCCTGGGCTCTGGAGATAAGGCCAGTGAGTCACCCCAGGTGGGAGGGCAGGAGGCGGGGGGCGGCACCCATGTGGCGGTGCCCGCTGCCGCCTCCCACCCCGCGTCCTGGGCACTCTCGGGGGTTGGGGTCTGGAGCATCCTCTTCGCCAGCCCACAGTCTTTCAGGATCCGTGGGGCCTGTCGTGAGCCTGCAGCAGTGCCCCCACTGCACAGAAGAGGAAAACCAAGGCTCGGGCGCCGGCCTCAGGCCATGTGGGCGCATCAAGGGTTGGCCCTCATCCCCGGCCGCCCTGTCTGTGCTTCCCCTGCACTGACTCGTCAGCTCCCTTGCCCTGAGGCCACACAGAGGCTCACTAACCGCCCTGAGGCCACACACCTGGCAGCTGGCGGAGGCTCCGTATCCAGCAGATGTCTCCCAGCCACTGAGCTGCACCACCTGTGGTACGTGCGGCAGCAAGAACACGGGTCCGCTTCTGGCTGGGGCCTCTCCTGTGGGGTCACCTGCGACTCTGGCTCTGGTCCTCTCTGGGGGGCAAACCGGCCCCTGCCCCGGGATGGGGAGGGAGAGCCAGATGACCTCTGTGAGCCAGGCAGAGGGCGCTAGGGAGGCTCAGGCCTGGTCCCTGGAGGACGCCCATTGATATTCCGGAGATGCGGCTGCAGCTCCGGCTCCGGGCTGAGCGGCAGACTCGCATTCAGATGCCTCTGTCAGCACAGCCCTGCCGCCGGCACTGACCCGGCCCCGGGAAGGAGACCCTGGGCTCCGGCAGCGGGAGGCGGCCCCTCGTCCAGCCGGGATGAGTGACATTCTGGGCCTGTCTTCCCCGGCTGCACAGGGCGCACCTGCCTGCTGCGCTGCTCTGAATGGGGGCAGGGCTTGGCCAGCTGGAAGGAGCTGTGTCACCCAGAGGGCCTGCACTGCTGCTGCTTCTGGGGAGCCAGCGAGGGGGTGTTGGCCCAGGACACCCCTCTCCCCCAGGATCCAGAAATGCCTCCCCTTTCTGCTGATCCCCCTCGCCTCTCTGCCCTCAACCCTTTCCACTCCCCTCTTCCCCCTCTGCTTGAACCACACCAGCCTCCTCGCGGTCCTCCGTGTGCTACCCACGAGCCCGTCTCAGGGCCTTTGCACTGGCTTTTCTCACTGGGGGGTGCCCACGTGGCCTCCATCCTCAGTGCATTTAGGTGTCCCCTCTGCAGCGAGGCCTCTCTCTGGCCAGCCTGTTAGTTTCTATTTATTAGAGAGAGAGTGTGCTATTTCCTGTCTACTGGTTCACTCAGCAAATACTGTAACAGCCGGGGCTGGAGCCAAGGAGCTCATAACAACCCAGGTCTCCCATGTGGGTGGCAGGAGCCCAGTCCCTTGAGCCATCACCACTGCCTCCCATAGGCTTTATACTCGGCTGAAGGCCCACTCCCCGGTCACGCTGTCTGAAACAGCCCTTTCCCACCCCCACTCCCCACTCCCTGGCTCTGCTCTGTTCTTTCTCCTTAGGGTCCACATGGGCAGAGCTCTTTTTTTTTTTTTTTAAAGATTTATTTATTTATTTGAAAGGCAGAGTTACAGAGAGGCAGAGGTAGGGGCAGAGAGAGAGACAGAGAGAGAGAGACAGAGAGAGAGAGAGAGAGAGAGAGAGAGAGAGAGGTCTTCCATCCGCTGGTTCACTCCCCAAGTGGCTGCAACAAGCAGAGCTGGGCCAATATGAAGCCAGGATCCAGGAGCTTCTTCTGGGTCTCCCATGTGGGTGCAGGGGCTCAAGGACTTGGGCCATCTTCTACTGCTTTTCCAGGCCATAGCAGAGAGCTGGCTTGGAAGTGGAGCAGCAGGGACTCGAACCGGCAGCCATCTGGGATGCTGGCACTGCAGGCGATGTCTTCACCCACTATGCCACAGCGCTGGCCCCAGGCAGAGCCTTTTGCCTGTCTTGTTCTCTGCGGCAT